GGGTTATATTTAACTCAGTATTTTTTAGAGTATATATATATATATATATATATATATATAATTTATACAATTATTTTTTTGTTTGTGCCCCATATTTATTGTGTTTTTAAGAGTAATTAACTGTAATTGTGGTATTTTTACAGAAACTCCGATTAGCACTGTGAATGTTTGAGAGCTGTTTTGTATGGTCCACAATTTGAATATAATACAATTCTAATTAATTAGTTTATTCTTGACAACTAATTTTGAGGAACAATTTTGTTTAGAAATGCAAAACTCAACAATTAGGCTTCTAATTTATTCTGACAGCTTCAGCGACTTGCCACCTATTTTCTTTAATGGCCATCTTTCCGTGGGTTTATTGTGTAATTGCTTTCCTTTGTGAAACCAAGTAAGCTCATACATTTTAATGAAACGCAACGAAACAACGCCACACAAGCCAAAGATGTAAGAAGTTTATTGTAAATGTGTGTGTGCTTAGGACTGCCTCCAGCCATCTGTGTTTCGGTGCGGAGTCCGGCCGTGTTTCTGAGCGTTGAGACTCTGTGCTTCATTGGCGGCGGGCTGCAGTTCCGGCGCTGACCAGCGGGGGGTCACAGTTCGTCCCGAGGCGCGTTTAAAGGGAAATGTTTGAACTCCTCAGGGACCTCCTCGCCTTTCTGTGACCTTTTATAGAAACCCAGAGAATCCAGCAAGCTGCTGATATCATCTGCCTTCATCTTCTTCACAGGAACAACCTGAGGTCAGAGAGTGAAATATACTAAACAGACTTGGAAATCTCTTAATTGTCATTTTTTAAATTGCCATATTATTTAATTATAAATTTAGTTATAGTTGTAGTTTTTTGCATTTTATGTTATTACAGTTTAATTTGACTTCTTTATAGTTTATACATTTTATTATTACATTTTATTAGAATTTTTAATTTGTTTGACATTTTTATATTTAGTTAAATTAGTTCTATTTTTTTTCTTTAAAAGTTCTTTAATTTTCTTACATATTTTTAAAAACATTTTACATGATTAAGTTTTGTTTTTAACACTTTTGGAATTTGTATAGTTTTTGAATTTTATCTTTTTACTTTCCACATTTGTAGTTATATTTGTTGTTTTTACATTTATATTCTTACATTCATTTTCAGATTAAAAAAAAAAAAAACACTTTTATTATTTTGTTAATTTTAGTAGTTTTTTTTTTTCATTTTATTTTTGTGTTTAGTTATATTTATTCTGTTTTTACTTTTAAAAATATGTTCTTATGTTTAGTTTTTACATTTAAGGTTTTACATCTTTATTGTTTTTGCATTTAATATTTTTCCTGCTGTTTTTGCATTTAACATTTTTCCTGCATTTTTATAGTTATTTATATCCGTTCTCTTTTTACTTTAAAAATGGTTTTCTCGTGTGTATTTTCCTAATGGCCTTTATGTGTTTTGCTATAAATAAATACTATACTATTTTTTTTCTCAATGGCATTTTACCTTCTTTTTGAATCATTTGAAAATAATCACATAGCATTTATTCATTTTTTTAAAACACCCCTTGTCAGGTTTGTTGATTTTTTTTACATCTTCTCAAAAGGAGAAGATGATGAGAATATTCATGCTGCTTTTTCCCTTACAACACTCAACAAAAGCCAATAGTGAATAAAAAAAAAAGAAATAAACATAATGTCATTGGTTTTGTGATGGAATGTGACACTTGTTTGCATATGCATGATAATATTTATATTTAAATAATATTTAAAAAAGTATAGAGACATGCCGGTTTTTCAGCAAGTAACAAATACAGTAAACATTTAAAATATCCAGTGTTGAGTGGGAAAAAAACTGCAAATGTATAATGCAAATATAATACAAATGCACATAAAAATCACATTGCCTTTACCTTCACTTCCTCATCCTTCTCGTTGTAGAAGATCAGGCGGGGGTTTTTATCCTCTCCTGAATCGTACTCCAGGTTGTGACTTTAAACAGCAGGTTAAGGTTAACAGCAGCAGGCAAATGACCTCTGAGGCCATGAAGCGCATGACTCCAGCCTCTAAGTGTTTAAACATATGGCAGCCTGTAAAGATTTCATTAACATTTACATCCCTGTCAAACGCTGTCTTAGCAGAGCCACGATCTTCCAAGAAATATGGAAGATACTTTTCAACATTCTTTAAAAAGACTAATAGCACTAAACTGAAAACATTGGAGTTACAAGAAAATGAGAGTGATTTTCGATGGTAATGTCAGGATACTACAATGCCCATCGCTCCATGAGGAAATTGTAGAGCTCTGGCATCTTCTTTATGGATCATCCCACTACACTGGGAGCCTGGGAAGGGATTGAAGAGAGATTAACAATAGGCAAAACATTGAAAACAAGTGTTTTAACTCAAGTAACACTCGTTGTCATCAAATGTTCTTTGAGGTCTTGACATTGTATCATATACAGTATTTTGAATAGAGTATTTAGTACTGTTCAAAAGTTTGGGGTCAGTAAGAATTTAATTCTGCAAGGATGCATTAAATTATGGAAGCTTTTTTTTTTTTAAATCTGTGGTGGAAACGGCCTTTCATTTTAAATTTATCAAAAGTTACTGTAAAGACATTTATTATATAAAACATTATAAATATTGTATTTCAAATAAATGCTGTTCTTTTGAACTTTCTATTTATCAAAGAATCCTGAAAAAAAAAAAAAAAAAACAATACCACAAAAATGTTAAGCGGCACAACTGTTTTCAGTATTGATAATAAGAAACTGTTATTTATCAAACCAGCATATTAGAATGATTTCTGAAGGATCATGTGACACTGAAGACTGGAGTAACGATAAAGTAATCACAGGAATAAATTACTTTTTAAACATATTATAATAGAAAACTGTTTTTTAAAATCAGAATAATATTTCACAATATTTCAGTTTTTCCTTTTTTTATCAAATAAATGCAAAATAACACTTTATTTTTGAAGGTGTCCTTGTTACACGTTACGTGTACTTACTATTATAATAACAATTAATTATTCAAAATTACATGTAAGTAAACACAAAACAAACCCCAATCCTAATCCTAACCATATAGTAAATACATGTAGTTAAGTAATATTACTCAGTACTTAAATGTATACTTACACTGTAACAAGGACACCTTAAAATAAAGTGTAACCAAATGCAACTTTGGTGAGCATAAGAGATTCTTAAAAAAAAATAAATAAATCTTACCAACCCCACACTTTTGAATGGAAGTGTATGTATTTGTATTGCTTAATACATTATTATAATTGACATGAAATGCATTAATCTCATTAGCTTCTGTGCTAATATAGTTTGATGCAGTCTGTCTCACATCATTGGACAATGAAAGTGATTTTTAGAGCTAAACCCTTGCATATATCAAGCGTTCAAACATGTATTATTGAGCACTCACCACAAGTTTTCCTCTGGCTATAACAAGCTTTTCCTTCTCAGCGCTGCTTTCTGAAAGATTTTCAGTGCTTCTCCCCGTGGCACACAGAGTCAGAAGGGCCAACAGTGTGAGCCACATACTGCGGTTGGGATGGGAGACCTCACCGTTTCCAAAAAGATTGAGGTCCTTTGGTGAAATGAGGGTCAATACAGTAGATATGGGTTGCTGATAGGTATCTGCCGCCATGTGGCAGAGTCTGATTGGCCGATTTGTTGGGTTTTGTTTCAGAGGAATTGGATAACAAGCTTAGTATGTGGAAATGATTATTTTAAATCTACTAATTCTTACCAAAAGGGACTTAAAGCTGTTATCTGTTTGATAAAGTCAAATGTGTTGTGAAGTTTGTTGCATTTTAATGTTTTTTTTTTTCTCAATATGAAGGAGTTGAGGCCGCAGAGCAGCTGCGCCTGTGTCAGAATCTCTCACAGTCTGCTGATGAATAACCAGAGTCAGAACACAACAGCCACTGTTTGACTAAC